GCCCGACTGATTTTTTTGATTTATTGTAGAGATGAGGTCTCGCTGCCCAGGCAGGTCTTGAACCTGCAGGCTCAGGCAATCCACTCACCTCAGCCTCCCAAAGGCGCGGGATTACAGGCTGAGCACCCGAGCCCGGCTAGAAGAGTTGATTTTTAACCCTCATGTTTGACTTTGAGGGATTCAAGACTTCAGTGAAGGGAGTAATTATAGATGAGGTAGAAACAGCAAGAGAACTAGAATTAGAAGTGGAGCCTGAAGATGTGACTGAATTGCTGTAGTCTCATTATCAAACTTGAATGGATGAGGAGTTGCTTCTTTTTTTTGTTTGTTTGTTTGAGTTGGAGTCTCACTCCGTCGCCCAGACTGGAGTGCAGTGACTGCTCCCGGCCACCACAGCCTCGGCCTGCTGGGCTTCAGTGATCCTTCCACCTCAGCCTTCTAAGTAGCTGGAACTACAGGCACGTGCTACCACACCCGACTAATTTTTGATTTATTGTAGAGATGAGGTCTCACCAAGTTGCCCAGGTGGGTCTCGAACCCTCAGGCTCAGGCAATCCACTCACCTTAGCCTCCCAAGGCGTGGGATTACAGGCTGAGCCACCGAGCCCTAGGAGTTGCTTCTTATGAATAAGCAAAGAAAGTGGCATCTTGAGCTGGAATAATATACTGGTGAAGATGCTGTGAACATTGTGGAAATGACAACAAAGGATTTAGAATATTCCATACACTTAGATGATAAAGCAGTGGCAGAGTATGAGAGGACTGACTCCAATTTTGGAAGAAGTTCTACTGTGGATAAAATACTGTCCAACTGTATCACATGCTACAGAGAAATTTTTTGTAAAAGAAAGAGTCAGTTTATGTGGCACACTTTATTGTCTTATTTTAAGAAATTGCCACAGCCACCCCAACCTTCTGCAAGTACTATCCTGATCAGGCAGTGGCCATCAACACTGGGGAAACATCTTCCACTAGCAAAAAGATTATTACTCACTGAATGCTCAGGTGTTCTTTAGTATTTTTTTCTAGCAATAAGGCATTTTTTAATTAAGACATGTATATTATTTTAGACACACTGCTATTGCATACTTAACAGACTACAGTATAATTTCATATGTACGGGGAAACCAAAAAATTTGCTTGACTCCTGTATTGCACTGTTTGCTTTACTGTGCTGCTCTGGAACTTGATCTTCAGTGTCTTGGAGGTGTGCCTGTATAGGAACATTTGTTTATTAAGTAGCATTTTTAAATTCTATCACCCTTATTTTTCTTTAACTGTACTGGTCTACTTCATTTTATTTAGAAACATACCTGCTACCTTCCTTAACAGAGCAACCTCTTCATGGAGTTTGTGTGGCTCTTGCATTCATAACTATGCAGATGAAGCAGGCATGACTTGGCTATCTTCTGATAAGTGTGTCATGAGAGTTCTTGCATTGTAACTTGAGTTAAGTGCAAAATTCTGTGTTGTATCTTGATACATTCTTATTTTCTGAAGTAGATTAGTGATCCAGAGAAACAATTCAGGCTGGGTACAGTGGGTCATGCCAATAATCCCAGCATTTTAGGGGGCTGAGGCAGGAAGATTGCTTGAGCCTAGGAGTTTGAGACCAGCCTAAGCAACATAGCGAGAACTCATCTACAAAAAATTAGCCAGTCATGGGTGGCATGTGCCTGTAGTCCCAGCTACTTGGGAGACTTGAGGCAGAAGGATCACCCAAACCTAAGAGGTCGAGGCTGCGATGAGCCATGATTATGCTACCACTGCATACCAGCCTGGGTAACAGAATGAGACCCTGACTCAAAAAGATAAAAAAATAAAATAAACAATTCAGAACTAAATGATAAAATCCTGTTATAATGCCCTTTTGTTTTCCTTATGTTCTTGAGTCAGAGTCTTATTCTGTTGCCCAGGCTGGAGTGCAGTGGCATGATCACGGCCACGGCAGCCTTGACCTGCTTGACTCAGGTGATCCTTCCACCTCAGCCTCCTGAGTAGCGGGGAATATAAGCATGCACTACTGTGCCCAGCTAATTTTTTGACTTATTGTAGAGACAAAGTCTTGCCAAGTTGCCCAGGCTGGTCTCCAATCCCTGGATTCAGATAATCTTGCCTTCACCTCCCAAAGTGCTGGGATTACAGGTGTGAGCCACAGCACCCAGCCTTATAATGCCCTTTTAAATTTTAGTTTTCCCATATGCAGGTGTTTTTGTACAACCAGGATATTTTGTTGTGACAGGGAATATTTGTTCCTTTTTAGGCTCTGAAGAGACTCTCTGATCTTATGGTATGAGAAGAGAAAGGAAAATGAGCCCTTAAATCAGAGAGGTTATAAATTTATTCATATGATTTAGAATATGTAGGTTTAGCTAGGTGATTTGGAATATTCTATTTTTCACACAATTTTGTATCCCTAGTTATAATACCATCGTCATTATAACATTTTTTCCTACTGGTGATTAGAATAATTGCCCCTGTCCTGGAATCAGCCATTAAAAAAAATATATTTCTCCAGTTCCTTTTAGTGGAAAGTGTATTTAGAGATCATAGTTCAGGGGCTGAGACTGTTGAGTTACCACTGTTTCTAGGCCTATTCAATGAGTGGACCCAGGAATATAACATTTATTTTAAAGAGGAAATAAAACACATTTCATACTGATATTCACAACCCAAATTTAAGATTATTTGCATGTTTTTCCCCCGATTTCTGTATTTATATCTCATTTCTCTTATGCTAAGAAATCTTAGTCTTTCAGGATCTTAAATTGTTTTTTGTTTTTCTTTTTTGAGTTGGAGCTTCACACTCTGTCACCCAGGCTGGAGTGCAGTGCTCACAGCCACCACAACCTTGACCTGCTGGGCTCAGGCAATCCTTCTGCCTCAGCCTTTCAAGTAGCTAGAACCACAGGTGTGTGCCACCATGCCTGGCTAAATTTTTGATTTATTGTAGAGATGAGGTCTTGCCAAGTTGCCCAGGTTGGTCCTGAACCCCTAGACTCAGATAGTCCTCTTGCTTCTGCCTCCCAAAGTGCTGGGATTATAGGCGTGAGCCACTGTGCCTGGCTTTTTTTTTTTTTTTTTTCCTTCAAGTTTTGGTCTATCCAAAGGAATCTTGACTTGACTTTTGTAGTTCATATTTATTTACAACCACCTAATTCCAAAATGGACTTGAACAGTTTTGTTACTCAACTATGTGGGTAATTGAGATCATGCAATTTCACTTGCATTTCTTCTACAAATGTAAAACACCAGTAATTCTGTTATATGCAATTGTATTAGGAAAAGTAGTATTTCTAATCAATAGCATTTACCAGTCCATATCTACTTAATGGAATCTTAGCTAATTATATAGGAATTATCCTTAGATAAATAATTACAAATGTTGAATGAATGGATAGAACATGTTTTGCTCACTGGAAAATACAAATTAAGATATTGTAAAGTGTCATCATTTAATTGCCAATTGGGCTGATTTTTATAGTGTGTGTGTTTTTTTTTGTAAAAGTATGGAAAAAGGACATTCTTATACATTTTTGGTGGGAGGTAAATTGGTATAGTATTTCTAGTGGGTGGGCAGGTACTATTTGTTAAAATTAAAAATGAACATAGGTCAGGCACGGCAGCTTAAGCCTGTAATCCCAGCACTTAGGGAGGTCAAGGCGAGAGGATTGCTTGAGCCCAGGAATTCGAGACCAGCCTGGGCATCTTAGTGAGACCTCGTCACCAACTCCAAAAAAAAAAAAAAGTTGAACATAAATCTTCAACCTGAAATCCCAGTTTTTTAATGCTAGTGGGCATACGAATATAAGAAATGACTGTAAAAAGATGTTGGCAGAACCATTAATTATAATAAAAGAAAAAAATTGTCAGTATTCTAAGTGTCTATAGGAGAATGAGTAAATAAATTATTTTATGGTTTTACTAGAGAAATCTATTATCAGGAAAACTACTATCGTCATCAAAAAGCAAAAACAGGCAGTTCTTTGTGTACCACCAGGGAAAGATGTCCTTGATGCATTCCAAAGTGGGGGGGAAAAGGTGTAGAGTACTAACACATTTTGTTTATAAAGACACAACCCTATGTGCGTTTGATTTGGTAATTGGAAATAGTTTATTTAGGGTACTTAATCTTTTCGCCCTTTTTTTAAAAACAGCTCTTGGAAATTAACTGGACAGGACTGACTAATCTTCTGGATATCCCTGGATTGAAGTAAGTGTCATGTCAAGTCCCTAAACATTAGCCTGTTGTGTTGATGATGTCATGTACATTTTCAGAGATGGTAAAGTCCAGATAGAATTAGTGCCTTCTCCACAGGCTCTTGTGAGAAGCAAGTAAAGAAAGCATAGGTGAGTTTTGTTCTAGCCACGTAAAAAACTGCTTGCATACAAATACCACAGTGGAGTGACTGTAGGAGTGTTGGGCTGAGTATTTACCCTTCCTTTGCCTCTGTTCATCACTTTGGCAGTTTGAAAAGTAGCAGCCTTTTACTATTCTTTTTTGAGTTGGAGTCTCACTCCATCACCCAGACTGGAGTGCAATGGCACGCCCCTGGCCACCACAGCCTCGACCTGCTGGGCTCCAGCGATCCTTCTGCCTCAGCCTTCCAAGTAGCTGGAACTACAGGTGGTTAATTTTTTTTTTTTTTTTTTGAGTTGGAGTCTCATTCTGTCGCCCAGACTGGAGTGCAGTGGCCGCTCCCGGCCACCACAGCCTCGCCTGCTGGTCTCTGGCGATCTTTCCGCCTCAGCCTTCCGAGTAGCTGGAATTACAGGCATGCGCTACCACACCCGGCTGATTTTTTGATTTATTGTAGAGATGAGGTCTCGCTGCCCGGCGGGTCTCGAACCCGCAGGCTCAGGCAATCCACTCACCTCAACCTCCCAAAGGCGCAGGATTACAGGCTTAGCCACCAAGCCCGGCTTCGGGCGGCTAATTTTTGACTTTATTGTAGAGATGAGGTCTCACCAAGTTGCCCAGGCGGGTCTCGCACGCACGGGCTCAGGCAATCCACTCACCTCAGCCTCCCAAAGCGCTGGGATTACAGGCTGAGCCACCGAGCCCAGATGCCTTTTATTATTCTATAAATCATTTTGTAAATTTTGCTTTATTGCCTTCTTAAACAATAAAGAAAAACTTAACAGCCAGGAGCGATGGCTTATGCTTATAATCCCAGGACTTTGGGAGGCCAAGACAAGAAGATCACTTGAAGCTAATAATAGGAGTTCGAGATCAGCCTGGGCAACATAGTGAAACACCCCATCTCTAAAATAATAAACAAATAAATAAAAAGAAAACTTTAAAAGTTAATGTATGTTTCAAAACTAACCCTTCCCATTGTCTGTCCAAACTATAGCCACCCCCTCCCTTTCTACGTTTTGTTACCTTTATTCATTTCTCCTTGAAAGGAACAGGGGTCAGTGTGGACTAGAAATTTACGAGACTTCTCCAGGATTTTGAGTATGAGAGACAAGGAACATGAGGTTCCATTTTTTATCACTGGGAGTCCTTTCATTATTCCGCAGCAATCTAATGTCTAAAAAAATAAGAATAATGTCCCATGACAGCACCTGAGGCCATGAAGGACTTGTCCCTGCTCAGAGAGACATGAAGTCTTTCTAGTTGTCATAGTCCCTCTATCTGATGGGTTGGATGGGACCATGGCAAACTGTTGGTGACTACCAAACAGGAAGACTTGAAATTACAGCTTCCAAACTTTCTTTGCTGGTTTTACTATTTTATTTGAAAGTTAAAAATGCATTACTTAGGCCGGGCTCAGTGGCTCAGCCTGTAATCCCAGCACTCTGGGAGACCAAGGCGAGTGGATTGCCTGAACCCACGGGTTCAAGACCCACCCAAGCAACTTGGCGAGGCCTTGTCTCTACAATAAATCAAGACTTAGCTGGGTGTGGTAGTGCGCCTGTAGTTCTGCCTACTTGAAAGGCTGTGACTGAAGGATCCCCAGAGCCCAGCAGATCAAGGCTGCGGTGGCCAGGAACATGCCACTGCACTCCAGTCTGGGCGACAGAGTGAGACTCCAACTCAAAAAAAAAAAAAAGCGTTACTTGGCTGAGTGCAGTGGCTCACAGCTGTAATCCCAGCACTTTGGGAGGCTGAGGCGAGAGGATTGCCTGAGCCCAGAGGTTCGAGACTAGTCTGGGCAACTTGGCGAAACCTCGTCTCTACAATAAATCAAGAAAAACTAGCCAGATATGTTGGTGCACACCTGTAGTTCCAGCTACTTGGAGGGCTGAGGCAGAAGGATCGCCTAAGCCCAGCAGGTTGATGCTGCAGAAGCCATTAGTGCGCTACTGCGCTCTAGCCTGGATGACAGACTGAGACTGTGACTCAAAAAAAAAAAATGCATTACTTATTGGCTAAAGTTACACATTTTTCCAGTGGATGGTTTGATATTCTCTCTCTCTCTTTTTTCCCCTAAAATAGCTTAGAAATTAAATTATGAGGCCTGGTGCAATAGTTCACACCTGTAATCCCAACACTTTGGGAGACCAAGGCAGGAGAATTTTTTTAGTCCAGTAGTTCCAGACCAGCCTGGACAACATAATGAGACCTCATGTCTAGTAAAAAAAAAAAAAGTATAAAAACAGTGGTGGCATGAGCTTGTGGTCCTGGCTACCTGTGAGGTTGAGGCAGAAGAATTGCCTGAGTCCAGGAGTTTGAGGCTGCAGTGTGCCACTGCACTCCGGCCTGAGCAACAGTGAGACCATGACTCTAAATAAATAAAGAGAGGGGGAGAAAGAAACTTGGTTTTAGACTTTTTAAAACTTTCTGTATGTTTGTTTATGCCTCTGAGAAGGCCATTAGAAAGAATTTTGTTTTATTATTTAGGAAACATTAGGATTTTAATCATCTGAGGCATAGGCATAAGAAGTCTTCTTTAGGTGCTATGATTTACCGTATATAGAAAAAGACTATTATCTTAAAATAATCTGTGGAAAGAAAGTACAACTTTAAAAGATTTGCTCAAGAGTTGATTAGAATTCTAGTGGCAAGCAACAAACCTGACTCAAATGGTCTAAAGAAGATAAATAAGTAAATAAGTAATACTTTTAAAAGGCAGCTTATTCAGCCACCCACCAAATGGGCATGGAGTGCCTGCCCTGAGCCTGCTGCTGCTCTTTGTGCATGGGACATAGCTGTGCACAGAGCAGTCACATGGCTGCTCACGGAACTCACCTGGTGCCTGGTTTCCTGGCTCACATAACTGGAAAGCCTGGAGCGTCCTCTGAGGCATTTCAGACATAGCCCATGTTATGCCATGGGATACCATGAGGGCTCTCTCTCCAGCTCTTCACCCAAGCAGAGAGTGAATCTCCCTCTTGTGGCTTTGTTTCCAGTTAGGCTCTCACTCTGCGGTATAGCTGCAAGCTTCTTGTTTGTGAACTTGGTCACCTTTTCCACTAGTTTCAGCAAAAGTTCCTGGGGTAACTTGTGTCTACTCATCCTTGGACAGATTCCTGTGATTCTGATGATCAGGTTTGGGTCTTGTGTATACCCTTATAGAAGACAAAGAAATGAGTCACTTGCTTGGGAAAACTCCAGGAAATGAGGGTATCCCTCAAAGGAAAAATGTTCACTAGAAGTAGGGGGAAAGAATTCTGGTTAACTGGTGAAAACAGCAAATGTCTACACAGTTAAGTGTAGGAAAAAAGTTTTGAGGGCTGGGTACAGTGGCTCATGCCTGTAATTCTAGCCCTTTGGGAGACTGAGGCAGGAGGATTGCTTGGAGGCCAGGAGTTCGAGAGTATCCTGGGCAACAAAGTGAGACCCTGTGTCTACAAAATAAAAGTAAAAACGAACTGGGTGCAGTGGTTTGTGCTGATAGTCCTAGCTACTTGAGAGGCTGAGGCAAGAGAATCGCTTTAGCCTCAGAGTTCAAGGTTGTAGTGAGGTATAGTCACACCACTGCTCTCCAGCCTGGACAACAAAGAGTGAGACTCCAGCTCAGAAACAAAACAAAACAACCTGAAAGAGTATATTCAAATAGATAATGTTGTTCTGCCTTTGGCAAGCCTATAGTTTGGGGATGACAGTTTCAGATTATTTGATTTAAAAGCGATAGATACATATACCTAAATACATACAAACATATACATACGTATTTAGCTCCATTTCATTTAACAGTTTACACATAGGCAAGTTTTTTTATACAGTAATGTTTTCTAGTTATTGTTTATTTAAAGCATTTTTTGGAGATGAGTATGTTGCCCAGGCTGGACTCATAGTCCTAGATTCAAGGGATTCTCTCTCCTCAACTTCCCAAGTAGCTAGGAATACAGGTGCACACCATCACACCCAGCCTCTAGCTATTATTTTATGTATAGATTTTATACATGTAATGTCAAAATATACTCCTATACCAGGGTGCCAGAAAAATGTGTATACACATTTAAAGAAATGTTAAGAGATGTTTGCCATAATCAGAAGTGCCTGGATGCTCATGGTAATAACCACTTTTAGTACCTCTTGTAATTGCAGAAGTCAAACGTGACTTGTATTTATCTTATTGAGGATTACAATTTTACTTTAATTTTTTTCCTTTCTTAAAATGTGTGTATATTTTTTGTCGCCCTCTGTATATCCCATATAGATAGAATGATATGATTCAAATTATACACTTACATAACTTAGAAAGAAATACGTATCATTCAAAATAGACTGGAATAAAAAAGATATATTAAAAATCTCATATATTATATGTATATATAATTTACAATTATGTAAATCTTTTATAATAAAATAACATATAAATTATGTATAATAAAATTTAATATATACATTAAATTGTGACCACTAGTTCTCACTCAAAGACTTTCTATCAAATAAATTACAACTATAACAAGTCTTATGTTATCAAAGTAAATATTCAGTAACCATGAACCTAATATAATGAAATCGTATCCCAAGCTTTATAGCATGAGTATCCATGTGCTGTATTAATTGATTAGAAAAAGGAACCAAATACATTATAAAGTAAAGTAATGCCTGAATTCATTCCTTATACCACAAATATGCCTGTCCCTGTTGAAATATCCCTATTGAGTTCCAGTGAGCAGCTAGAAACTGAGTGCTGAAGGTGTGACAGGAGGTGAGGGTTGTGGTAGAAACAAGCAAAGATGAAGAGCGGTTTTGAAGGACACACTAGGACACAGTGACATCCAGCCAGGCAACCACTGCAGGTGCCGCTTTCACAGAGGACCAGGGAGCAGCTTGTACAGTTGGCCGTGGGAGAGTGCTGAGGGTCGTGGTGAGGAGGTACTGTGGGTGAGCTGCCTGTGCCAAAGCTGCCATGGCCACAGGGATTGTCTAATACATTTCAATCACAAAACTTTTATAAATGTTTTCAAAAAGTGCTGCTGCATACGCATTATTTAGTTCTCACACTTACCCTCAATAATAGGCAAAAGATATATTGAAAGTACGTTTGTTCCTTTACCCTAGGCTATTTTATTCACATTTATGAATTTGCAGTGCAGTAATATATAGTATTTCAAAGTTACTGAAGTATTCAGTACCCAAATAAAGTGTTTGATAATGTATGAAGAGAGAGCAGACTAAGTTGTTTTACTTCATTGGTGCCAGTATATGACAGTGGGGAGAAATGTAATATGTATGTGAAGATGGAGTGGGTTAATGAATGTCTGTTATGTTGTTCTCTGCATATTTGTGCATATTTGGAACACTTCATGTTAAAACATTTAATAAGCTATATCTTTGTTATTCAGTGTTAAATATATGATGGAGTAGGAATGTATGACATATCACTTAGGAATTATGAAATGTAGCTAGAATTTTACCCTGCACTCTAAGAATAAATTCTGTATCATAGTCACCCTGGCAGCATCATAGCTGAAGTATTGAAATGCTGGCTTTAAATTTTGTGCTAGAAGCTGGACTCGGTGGCTCAGCCTGTAATCCCGCACCTTGGGAGGCTGAGGTGAGTGGATTGCCTGAGCCTGCGGGTTTGAGACCCGCCTGGGCAACTTGGCGAGACCTCATCTCTACAATAAATAAAAAATTAGCCGGGCGTGGTAGCGCACGCCTGTAATTCTGGCTACTCGGAAGGCTAAGGCAGAAGGATCGCCGGAGCCCAGCAGGTTGAGGCTGCGGTGACTGGGAGCGGCCACTGCACTCCAGTCTGGGCGACAGAGTGAGAGAGACTCCAACTCAAAAACAAAGCAAAACAAAAAATTTTTGTGCTGGAGAAGTTAGACATTTCCTGCTCAGTAAATGGGACATTGCATCATATCTGTGGTAAATTTGTTATTAATGTGACAGCAAGTGTTGATATGTCTGATGGTCCGTTTGTTCTTTTTTACCTCCCAATTAACAGTGGTTTATCAGATACTATCATTTTGGATATAATATCAAATTATCTGGTACTTCCCAATCGAATCACCGTTCCTCTTGTCAGTGAAGTTCAGATAGCTCAGTTGCGGTTTCCTGTACCAAAGGTAAGCATATCTTGGCATCCATTAATGTTTAGAAACAGAGATTGGGACCTTTGCAAATATGTGGGTGTGATGTTGGGCATCGTGATTCCTGGGTCTCCCCCAGTAGCCAACTTGCCATGTGGGGCTCGATGCAGTGATTGTGGCTTTTGTTACTCTCCTTAAGATACTTACTGATGTGCACTGACCCTAGAGTTTGTCACAGAGATGTCATAGTTCTCATGCCACAGCCACATTCCTCAATGGTACTGATAGATATTTAATTTGTCAAATGTTGTTGCAAGTCGTAAATGACAGCTGTATACAGCACAGACAACTTCATTACCTCAGAAAGCATATACGTGCATTTGTTTTTATTAAAATGGATTGCTCTCAGACATTAGAATATGGTTTCCTCTGGAGTCACTTAAATAACCTGGAAGAAGCAGTACTTCTGTTAACAGCTCCGCTGGATTAAATAGAAAGGGCGGAACAAGATGCGAGTCACAGCTCCTGAGTTCAGTGAGTGGTAGGTTTGCTTTTGTGGGCATATTACTTGGCATCTTCATCTGTGAAGTGGGATGCTACCTAGCACACAGAGCTGGCATTGGAGTTACCTTCATTTGAGCAAGCTAAGTAATAACTAAATTATTGCATTCAAAGATTGCGAGTACTTAGTAGTCAAGAACATGAAATTCCTTCTGCTAGTCATGGAAGGGGTGATTGGAGTAGGCTAATGGATCTCTCGTAGGTTAATGAGAGATCTTAAAGCAACTCAGATATTGGATCCCCATCTGTTTAGTCTGTCTGAACTTTAGGTTCCAGAAGTCAAGTAAACAACACTGCAGTGGTGTTGTTTGCAGTAAGTAGCCATATTGATGCATACCACACTGTTTACTTATACTAAAACAGAAGGTGCTAAGTTGGTCCAATTTCAGCAAGTATAATATTTTTAATTTTGTTCCTTGAAGTGAAAAGTAGATAGCTTTTCTCTGATGCCTTTTTACTTTTGCTGGTTAAATTAGATCTCAGAAATAGTGCATAAATCAACAAACATACATAAGCATCTTTGTATTTTATTTTTTACTTTTAGAGACAGGGTCTTGCTCTGTCATCCAGGCTAGAGTTCAATGGCACAATCACGGCTTACTGGAACCTCAAACTTCTGGGCTCAAGGGATCCTCCCACCTTTGCCTCTCAAGTAGCTGAGACTACTAGGTGTCTGCCACTATACCTGGATAATTTTTTTAAATGTTTTTAGAAATGGGGTCTTGCTATGTTGCCCAGACTGGTCTTGACCTCCTGGGCTCAAGCAGTCCCCCCACCTCAACCTTCCAAGTAGCTGGGTCTGTAAGTGTGAGCCACCACACTTGGATGATAAGGCTATCATCCTTATTTCCTTTAGGAGTAACAATACCCCAGTTAATTCGGTGTTCAAATTAGTTATATTGTACTCATTTAACAGATTTAATGTGATACTACATATTAGAAAAGAATGCCTTTTTCTCTTAACTTATGATTCTCATCTCTGGAAATGCAGGAATCTCTTTATATGTAGAAGTCCTCAGACTCCCTGGCTGCTCAGCCTTTTATGCTCTGAGTACAAGTGAGCACTTGAGCCTGCCTGGATCCTACCACCTTTCATGCTAGACTTAAAAGCCAAAGCTGTTGAAAGATGTTGCCAGATTATCTAAGCTTTAGGCAAATGAACACATAAACGAGAATTTTTTGAAGTTTTAAAAATGTGTTCATCTGCAGAGGTGCATATCTTCCTGTGCTGATTGAGTCAGGAATATCACCCTATAATTTTCTAGAAAGGTTTTGGGAGGCAGAATACTACCCTTCCCTAAAGGTTACTTGGGCATCTTGATTAGTTTTGAAAGAAATATGTGACTTTTTTCTTTTATCAATAAAACAATATTTTAGGAAAAGGACTATGCTTATGCTAGTCATGGAAGTCTATGAATAATACCTATTTCAAAGTCTATGAATAATACATATTTCAAAGTTTCAGTTTCATCTTCTATAAAATTGGTCTAATGACAGTATTTCATAGGGTTCTAAAAATTGAGCAGCATAGTTACTGCATATATACGCTTGGTAACAGGTCAGATGCAGCTTATGTTAGTTATCACTTACTGTAGTAAGTGATCTTTGGTGACCCCCAAGACCCTATGTTATTGGGCACTTTGGAAAAAGCATAGTGCCAGGACCTCTGCTCTCAACATTCCCTCTCCCAGGAGAACTCCCCAGGGATGCTTGTGCTCACTCTCCTCGCGTCACTATGGAGGTGTCTTCCCAATAGAAACTTGTCTGTTCTCCTGTCTGAAATAGCACCACTTGGGCACTGTTGTCTTCTTCTCTCTCTTTTCTTTTTTTCACACTTGTCACCTGTTCACTTTTTACTTGTCATCATTTAAACGTATTTGGTGTCTTCCTCCTCCCTTTGGTGGAATATATACTGCACAAAAAGAGGGTCTTTATTTTGTTCCCTCCATACCCTCAGTTCTTAGGACAGGGCCAGGCACACAGCTGTCTTCCACTTTTGTTAGTGAACCAGTGAATGGTAACCAGGGGTCCGCAACCCCTGGCCGCAGACTGTCCATGGCCTGTTAGGAACCTGTCTGCTTGTACGGTGAGTGAGCAGAACACTGCCTCCTGTCAGATCAGCGACGGCCTTATATTCTCATAGGAGCATGAACCCTATAGTGAACCATGCATGTAAGGGATCTAGATTGTATGCTTCCTATGAATTTGACTGCACATTCCCTCCCCTCTGTCCATATGTGGAAAAATTGTCTTCCATGAAGCTGGTCCCTGATGCCAAGAAGTTGGGTGCTGCTGGTATAACCATTTGCTCTTTTTTTCAGGGTGTTCTAAGGATACATTTTATTGAAGCTCAGGATCTTCAGGGGAAAGATACTTATCTTAAGGGACTTGTCAAGGGAAAATCAGACCCCTATGGAATTATTCGAGTTGGCAACCAAATCTTCCAAAGCAAGGTCATCAAAGAGAACCTCAGCCCAAAGTGGAATGAAGTGTATGAGGTAATGCATTGTGTCCCGCTGTGTAGCTTGGTATGGTGGACTGGACCCCAGTAGGATCAGCTGAGGTCTAATCTCAACTCGGTCACATAGGAGCATGGCTAATTTAGACCATCATTTAGACTGTCTTTACTTTAATCTTCTATCTTAGGAAGTATTGTACCTTTTCTCCCTACCTCACATAACAACATTTTTGTCATGTCAACACATTAAGGTTTACATCTTAATTAGATAATTCTATCATGGAAAATGATTGGCAAAATATTTTTCATAATGTGAGTAGCTTGTCTCATTATAAAATATTATATGTGCTTATTAACACAAACACATAAAAATGAGATTAATTATATACCTCTGTGCTAGCTTTTAACTTAATAAATCAGGACATCTTTACATGTCAATAAATAGAGGTCTTTATGATTTCTAATGACAATTCCACTGAATAGGTATCATTATTTATTTACCCAGAAAGGGCTAGGCAGTTCATTTCAGAGTTATAAACAGTGTTGTACAAGTATAATGTGAGTGTCTGCTCAGCTTTGTTTTCCGCAGATAAAACTCTTCAAAGTAAAATTGCTGAATCCAAAGTTAGGAGTTTTTAAAGAACTGAAATAGTTTTTTAGAATTGTTCTTCAGGGCGGTAGTGCGATTTATGCTCCACCAGCTTCCTGTCCTCTACTCTTTTGTCAATCCAGTCTCTTTCCAGTGTCTTACTCTGAAGGGTGCTAAAGCAGATAGCTTGCAGTTATTGCAAGGATAGCATCTGAATGGAGCCACTGCAGGACTAGAGTGATGTATCCTACATCTGTGATCTGCCTTAAGCCTTGGACCAGGCTTAGGTGACATCCTGTGACCTGTTTTGGAGTGATTGAACTTGACCCATTGAAATATGTAATCCAGGATAACTAGATATAAACAAAATAGCCTGCTACTATGCGACAAGTATTTCAAAGTGATCTCCCAGTCATTAATAAGTATGTGTGTTTTATAATAAGAAAATATAAGTGTTTTAGAAAGTATTTACTGCTGCAGAAAAATACATGATAATATTTACTATAATCATCATATTCAGTAAATGACTGTATTTGTAAAAATGCAATTAACTACTATCCATTAATTTTTCAGGCTTTAGTCTATGAACATCCTGGACAAGAATTAGAGATCGAGTTGTTTGATGAAGACCCAGACAAGGATGACTTTTTAGGAAGGTGACGCAGATCCTTCATGGCTATTGGAGGAGAACATAGGATCACTCTTTTTTTTAATCACTCAAAAAATATGTTCTAAATTATGTTTATGTACATATGTTATGTGTATATTTTAAATGGCCCTTAGGTATAAAATTTGTTTTACCTTGGATTTCTTAAAACATTTTTATTCTTAAAAAGTTTCACACTTAAGGAATGCTATGTTGTCTGTTACAGGAGCCACTGGCCACATGTAGCTATTAAAATTAAAATTAAATTAAAAATTATTTTTCTTAGTTGCAGTGTTCCCATTTAAAGTGCTTAATAGCTACATGCAGAACCTACTCTTGTGTGGAGTTCTAGTAGACAGCTTCATTCTAGATTGTAAAAATGGGTTTTTAAACTTTTTCAATATGTTGGGTTAATTTTTGTTGGGATATAGTAATTTACATGGGAAAGATATTGATTCTAATATCAATATCTATATATATATCAACTAATATAGCTTTAAAAAATAAGCTTTTAAAAAATACAGTCCTTGCCAGTCACGGTGACTCAAACCTGTAATCCCAGCACTTTGGGAAACCAAGGCGAGAGGATTATCTAAACTCTCAGGTTTGAGACCAGCCTGGGCAACTTGGTGAGACCTTGTCTCTACAATAAATAAAAAAAAATAAACCAGTCTTGGTAGCGTGCACCTACAGTTCCAGCTACTTGGAAGGCTGAGGCGGAAGGATCGCCTGAGCCCATTGGGTCGAGGCTACAGTGACTGTGAGCATGCCATTGCACTCCAACCTGGGAGACAGAATGAGATTCCAACTCAAACGAACAAAAAAATACAGTTCTACCTTATCTTTAGTATTTTATCTAATTAAGTTATTTAACTAAACGTATTGTGGCAAAAAAGATGCAGGGATAGATGACATTGGAGAGGTTTGTGCCTCATCAAGAATGACCTTGTATGCTATACCCTGACTTCAGAATTCATAAGACTTTCTAAGGCATCCAGCAACAGTTGGACAAGTGATCAGATATGCATTCTAGTAAAATAAGGTGTAGATTGGATGGTCGGGGTTGAACTTAGAGACTGGCAGACGAGTTAGGAGACTACTGTCAAAGAACAGCCTGAGAAATGGGAGTCTACACTGAGAAATAGATGGTAGGGCAGGTGAGGGCCACAAGAAAAAGTCAAGAGTATAGTCATTCCATCATAGTAATTTCTTGGTTCTTTGAGGAGTGGTGCCATTCTTTGAAATACTACAGAATGGTTTAAGAGGAATTAAAATGGGCTTCCTCTTAGATGTGCTGAATGAGAGATGTCTGTACTCTAGAGACAAGGTCTCACCAAGTTGCCCAAGCTGGTCTTGAACCCGTGAGCTCAGGCTGTACAATGTGGGTCTGGAGCTGAGGCGAAAGGGTGGAAAGGACTAAGAGTTACAATTCAGTATGTGAAGGATAGAGTCCCTAGCAATGGATGGCTGTACCAAGAGAGAACATGTTAAAATAATAGGGCTGAAATATTTTTGGTGCATATTACATTGTGGAGAAGACTAATATTTTTATAGCTTTAACCTCAGCTGGTCCAAACTCAGTATTCTGACCTCACAGAAACTCCACTCTACTCTTCCTTACCCCTCTTAATACTTTTGGAGCTGGTGGAAGCTTTTGGAAGAATTGTCTATTCCTTGATGAATTATTTAGCATTTTGTTGCCTTTCTGGAGTCCTTTTTCATAGACAAAAAAGGTTATTTCAGTTGTAAGAAATGTGCTTCTATGTTCTAAAGTTGTTTCATTGTTATTTTTGTAGTCTTATGATTGATCTTATTGAAGTTGAAAAGGAGCGCCTTTTAGATGAAGTAAGTTTTCCTTGAGTATTGATCTCTTTTACAAACACTGAGTACCTGCTGCGTGCCAAAAGAGCCATGAGCCACTACTGCCACACTCACACAAAGTGCAGAAACTGTGTGAGCAGAATTTGCTTCACAAATAATAATAATTTAGGTATTTTAGAAATAGCAAAGTAAAAATAAATGAATGTAAGAGTCAAGTCTGATAGTATGTAGTGAGTACCTACCATATACTTGAAAGTCTTATGGATGTAAAACACTAAACTGACTTCATTGCAAACACATGGTCCCCTGCAGAAGTTAGTGCAGAGACATGTGAGAAGTCCACTAATGGACATTTTCATGATGATGGAGATAATAGCGGAGATTGCACAGTTCCATTGCTCAGCATTCATGCAACAGTCATTTCTCGTGTCCTGATGTATGCCAGGTACTGAGTAGACAGTGCTGGACAGAATAGACAAAATCCTTCTTGGGATCTCTCTATCACTGAATGTTTAGAGATCATCTTTGTTTATTTTGTAGCCTTGAAGCTGACACAAGTGTATACTGTTTTATTAGTGTATAACGATAGGAACAAATATTAACTTACTTGATATTGAAATTCAGTATTTAAAATCAATGTTATCTTGTCTCTTGGCCCATAAATTTCATTAAAGTCCACTTAGCCAGGCACAGTGGCATGTGCCAGTAGTCTCAGGTACTCAGGAAGCTGAGAAGGGAGGCTAGCTTAATCCCAGAGTTCAAGACCAAACTAGGCAACATAGCAAGTCCTCATCTCAATTAAAAAAAAAAGTGGTGCCTTCGTAGAATACTTTTCTAATGCTGGGTAGTGCTAGAAAACATTTGAATACTTTTGTGTAAAGTAGTGATGGTAGCCGGGCTCAGTGGCTCAACCTGTAATCCTGCGCCTTGGAAGGCTGAGGTGAGTGGATTGCCTGAGCCCGCAGGTTCGAGACCTGCCTGGGCAACTTGGTGAGACCTCATCTCTACAATAAATCAAAAAATTAACCGGGTGTGGTAGCACGCGCCTGTAGTTCCAGCTACTTGGAAGGCTGAGGCGAAAGGATCACCGGAGCCCAGCAGGTCGAGGCTGTGGTGGCCGGGAGCGTGCCACTGCACTCCAGTCTGGGCAACAGAGTGAGGCTCCGACTCAATAAATAAATAAATAAATAAATAAAAATAAAGTAGTGATGATAACAGTGCTTACTTGGGGTTTTTGTTAGGATGAAACTGGTGTATGTTCATGTAAAGCATGTAGGATGGTCTGCTGACCCCTGCCATTGTCATCATCATCATCATCTTTGAATGTGAGGTCACCAAACGTTCAAAGAGCATAGAGCTAAATATGGCAAGAGTCAGTCTTCAGCATTGAGAACTATTGATGTCTCACAGTTAATGAGCAGCGTAACATTTGCAGATACTGAGTTTAATTTGAATCTTTAATTCAGGGGAACTCTTGCTAAACTTAAACATTTTCTCTTCAGTGGTTCACTCTGGATGAGGTTCCCAAAGGAAAGCTGCACTTGAGACTGGAATGGCTCACACTAATGCCAAATGCATCAAACCTTGATAAGGTGCTGTGAAATGTTTTCTCTTGATAACCAGCTACTCTTAACAACTAAGATTAGTCTCTTTAAGTCATGTTGCTACTTGATTTTTTTAAATGTTAGCAGTAATTTTCATTATTGGGCTACAAGTCACTATAGTAGCATCAGGGATAAATTAAATATTAGGTCATTCATTCCTGTTTTATAACGTCTTTAAATTCTGTTCTTGGTGTAGTACAGGGATTTAGAAACCCACAGATCACCTGACTGCTTCATTTCATTGATTTATGTGGAATAATAATCTTGTTTAAAATATTTTTTTGTTTTAGTTATCTCTCTATTGCATATATTGGATGGCTTATTTCTCACCTCTCTTATTTTCTTGAGCATAATTAACGTAATATAATCAGATACAACTAGTATGAGAACCATGTGGAAATGTGCCTGCTAAGGCTTTTTGCTTTCCTTCTAGGTGCTAACAGACATCAAAGCTGACAAAGACCAAGCCAATGATGGTCTTTCTTCTGCATTGCTGATCTTATATTTGGATTCAGCAAGGAACCTTCCGGTAGGTAACACAGTGGTAACTCATTGAGTGTTTCTTTCCCCATAGCGGCTGTTGCTTGGGAACCACTATTCTTTTTTTTTTTTTTAGCCACGATGCATCACCTATTCTTGTTTTGCTGTGTTTTCACTTCACTTCCAAGTGTAAGAAAGTGGCAGTGGAGAGGGACAAGTTAGCATTTACTTGTTGCGTGTATATTTATGTTTACATATTTTATTGACGTCATCTAGGATATTCAAAATTAGCTTTACTCTGACATTTTAAAATGAAGAAATCTTTACCACATAGGAAAAGAAGATGATTAGTAGTTAGAGGAAGAAGATATTCTGTAGAAAATCACTAAGTTCTAAAACTTAGTTGCCTAAGGATGGAAATTGTTTCTACTTGGAATGAGAATAAAATGAAGCAGCTCTGATTACAAAATCCAAACTGAGTTTTGGCCAGAGCAGGGCAGAGTGTGAGCTTCTAGACCTTGGTAGCTGCTGGACAAACATGCTGAACTCTAGGCACCCAGGATATTTCTAACAGAGCAAAAAGAAGCAAACAATGTCTCTGAAGGATCTGCTGGTAAACACATGATGCTCTACAGCCTAAAATCATATGCTTTTGTTTGTTTTCATCAAAATTGTTTCGTTCTTAGAGGAAAACTAAAATACATTTTTATGGGTAGTAACTGTAAGCACAGAGAAGGAAAATCCTATAATTCAATCTTGTGAGGCACAGTGTGATCTTCGGCTGTCATACTTTAAAGTCCACTACTACTAGGTTATTGTTTTTGTCTTCATTAATGTGATATTGTTTGATGATTTTGTTGGGTGTCCATATACTTTTCACTAGATGGCCAATCTGCACTTCATTGTGTCCACAGCCGCTTTTGTTGAAAGAAAGACTACTGCCACCAAATAAAGAGGTTTTTGTTTTCCTCCCAAGGTTGTCTGTTGCCTAACTCTTCCTGCATAGTAAATATCCATCCACCCAGGTATATTTATAAACAAGTAGTCTTCATATGCCTTTTTCCCTATCAGTGTTTACTGGAGAGATAGACAAGAAGGCATCCTGAACTTAAGTTATCAGTCTTTCATCCAGTAGAGTCTCACCCTGTCATGGTTTGACTGTGTTTCCTCATAGTTCATAAAATAACTATAAATAACTCTTTGTTTCATTTATCACCTTTCACGTTTTGAAAATTGTACATTTACTTGGGCCCTGCCCACAAAGTAAATGTATTTTGTGCATTAGTACATTTTATTTAAAGTTATGAACAATTAAAATATGATTGAGCATTTATGCTTTTCTTACTGGGAGGATGTAATTGTACTCTTTGTTTATGTAATTGTACATAATTGTACTCTTTCTTTCAATGATGGTTTCTTGACTGATTTGTAACTTCTTAAGTCCTTGATATTTCTCTTATTAACCTTAACCTTTTGGCCAATCTTCCAGTCTAAATTCTATGAATTTATCTTACAATTTCAAGTTATTTTATCATTATTTAACCTTTCTACAGAATTTCTCATACAGCAGAACTTTCTGCTTTTGTTTTTTTTTTTTTTTTGAGCCTCACTCTGTTGCCCAGACTGGAGTGCAGTGGCCGCTCCCGGCTACCGCAGCCTCGACCTGCTGGGCTCCGCGATCCTTCCGCCTCAGCCTTTCAAGTAGCCGGAACTACAGGCGCGCGCTGCCACGCCTGGCTAACTTTTTGATTTATTGTAGAGATGAGGCGGGTCTTGAACCCCTGGGCTCAGGCAATCCACTTACCTTAGCCTCCCAAGGCGCAGGATTACAGGCTGAGCCACCGAGCCCGGCTTAACGTTTTGCTTTTAACTACAGTAATGTTTGTTGTAAAATCTTCTATAATACCTGATGGAAATTAATTTTTTGAACATATTTTAAAATATAGAGAATAGTATTGGTGAATTGGCAAGAAAAGATTAAGCCTGTCTTTTTTTTTTTTTGAGTTGGAGTCTCACTCTGTCGCCCAGACTGGAGTGCAGTGGCCGCTCCCGGCCACTGCAGCCTCCACCTGCTGGGCTCCGGCGATCCTTCCGCCTCAGCCTTCCGCGTAGCCAGAATTACAGGCATGCGCTACCACGCCCGGCTGAGTTTTTGATTTATTGTAGAGATGAGGTCTCGCTGCCCAGGCGGGTCTCGAACCCGCGGACTCAGGCAATCCACTCACCTCAGCCTCCCAAAGGCGCAGTATTACAGGCTGAGCCACGGAGCCCGGCTTAAGCCTTTCTTTAAAACAATGTGTTTTGTCTCATTAAATTGAAATTTGAATAATATCACATAAACCAAAAAAAAAGGAACAAGAATGTATTGATCTTCTATTAAAAGGACACTTTGTGCATGAAGTATGCCATAGCCATCAGAGGCAAAGAATCTTTGCAGAACCTCTTCCTGTTGGGTGTTCGTTTTAAATGAGAGCATCCCCTGCATACTGTGGGATTCTTTGACTCTGCCTCTGCACTCCTGTCTCTTGGTGCTTCTGGTATGCACATTGACCACAATCCACCATTCTCTGCTTTCTCCTCCTGTCTCCACTTTCCTAAGAGTATCTACGAGGGAAACTTTGGGTGTGGCTACTTAAAAGAGAGGCGAGCGTCGGGACTAGTGTTTTGTGAAAATACTACCTCAGTCTATAGAGCACTATTTGTGAGTCCTCTGGGGTTCTTTCTTCCTTTGTCTGTTTGGAGACTGCCAGAATGTGGACTGGAACCTCTAACACAGTCTGCTTGGCGTGGAATGATGTGGCATGCTTTCTATTTTCCTGCATGATTTGAATTACTGTGTGTTTATTTTGCGCTTGATTTGTACCATGTAACACTGTTGTAACAGTGGTGAGTGTGTCTGACAATGAGATGAGCAACCCTGGCAGAGAAGACTTAGATTCCTGAACTGCTACTGGCCCATAAAGAAATAAAAATGATTCTGAGGATTGAAGCCATCATAATTAAAGTTGATTTTCTTGTTGTTCATCTCAATGTGAGATGTAAATATTTCTTTGTGAACTTTCACACAACTTTCTTAAACCTACTTTCTCCTCCTCACCAAACACAGAAGTGTCAGAACTCAGTTTTCTTTTTTTTTTTTAAGGAAAGAAAAGTTTATTTAAAAGTAAATTAGAGAGAGAGAAGGGAGAAAGAAGATTCACCTCCCCAAGGTGGGGGAGGGGCCAAAGCCAGGAAGCACTGCGATAGCCATAGCTCAAAGAGCACATGGCCACAGCAGAGTCTAGCAAGGCAATGGCCAGAACTCAGCTTTCTTTAGAACCTAGCTGTACAGTTGACTCTCAGTCACCTGGGGAATGGTCACATGAGGACAGAAAAAAATGTGCTTTCTCCCATATGGCTTAACTGGAGCTCCTAAAGGGGGAAGAAACCCATTTTGAATTTATGATTCAGCATCTTTTAAGGAACTCAATTCCCTGGGGTAGCTAATTTAGCATTTTTTGGTTTTGATCTCATATCTGTTTTACCATGGTCTCTATGTATGGCACCTGGATTCCTGGTGCTGTTCTGGTACTTTCTGTAGATGGCAGTTTTCACTTGATTTGGAGTCACAGGAGTCACAAGAAGCCACAGTGTCTTAGTCATTAGTCTAGAAAGTCATTCTCCAGACTTAATCCAATAAGTAATGACATTCTTAAAGCCCATTTGTCCCTGAATTTAATAGTGACTAGTGCTTAGCATTTTTGTAGAGTTTTTATTTTTATTTCCAAAGGATTTCCACATGTGTTCTCAGTTTATTCTTATTTTTTAAAAGGGGAGGGAGTGGGGCAAAACTTGAAGAATAGGTATTTTTGCTCCATTTTATAGATTAGGGAAAATCAAAAAAGTTAGGTATAAAGTCACACCAGTAGTAAGTGTAACCCTGGTTTCTCTGGCTCTGTCTATTCATACCTGTCTAAGGCCTTTGTAAAGTAAAAATGAGGTCAGTGGTGCATAATAGCAACATATTCTCTCACTTTTGAGAAAATGATTTTCTGCTTCTGGTGTTTTTTATCAGAAAATTTCATTATAAACAGGTATAAATGACAAGATAGCCCTGCTGTGTAAATTGTTTGTTTCCAATAGCTTTCCAAGTTGCTTTCTCCTGTTTTACAGCTGCTTCCTTTGCAAAACGAAAATATTTCTGACCTTGTGTTTGGATTTTTAAACTTGTTTTGTAATATTTAGACTACGATATTATTGGGATATCAAAATTAACCTTCCTCCTACATTATCAAAATCATATACTTTGCTTTATAATTAGAATGCATTCATCATATAACATGTTTTGTAAGTAAATGTAATCAACTTTTTTTAATACATTGGTTTTCAAAATGAAGTCAGATCCGTGCTTTCTCAGTTTTCCCCAGAAGGTGAGACTATTGCTATTTTTAGTAAAGGCTTGACAGCCAACCATCTCCTGCTCTCTTACTTCCCAACTACTCAAAAACACGTTTAACTTCAACTCTTCTGTGAGTGTATTGCTACCGGTAATCCCCATCTGCAAACTTAAAACTGCAGGAATTTCTCCTGTGCTCTAAATGACCTCTTTATAATGTGGGCTTCTAGAATTTTGCCCTTCTTTTTCTTTTGATCAAATTCTGGGCTTGAATTTCAGCCTTGGACAATAAGAATGTTATCTGACTCATGGTGACTAGCTTTGGAATCTTAAAACATATTTGATAACATAATTGTTGAGCACTTTCTTGTAGCCAAGTAGGGTCCTGAGAGCTCTCCATGCATACCTCATGTAATCCCCAGACCAACATTATTATTTTACAGATAAGGAAACTGAGATGACACAGAGAACATAAGGGACTAAGATTAGAAAACCAAGATCATGGGTCAGTACGTGGCAGAGCTGACTTTGAAATTCAGCCACGGGGCCGCGAGTCCTCATGCCTGGTAACCCTTGTTTACTCCATCCTAGAATAAAGTGAATTTGTCATCACTTTATTAGGTTTATAGATTCATAATTCTGTTTATGGAATTTGTCCAAAATGAGTGATTTTT